AAGCAAAGTTGCCTTGGATACTTTCAATTCAATTTTTTCTTCAAAGAATATGCAGAGTATTAGAGATGCAGAAGTGTCCTTACAGCAGATATGAAGCAGTTGTCGGCTCCATGGTTGTTAGTGGGGACATATCTGTCATAAGTGTCATAGAATATTTCATCTACAGGACCCAGCAGGTCAATGCCGGGCTTCAACTCTACCTCAGGGTTGTCGGTCTCTGCTTCTGTTGAAACAAAAGCAATGAATTTTCCCTTGGGAGCTACATTATGAGCATATGAACAACAAAAGAGGTACCTGCAGTTCCAACAATAAACCTTAGAAGTTACCAGAGATTCGGGAATTATAACACTTTTTTGTTTGTTGAACTTGTACTTTTCCATACAATCTTAGGAACCTTAAAGTGAATGATTAACTTAAGGAAATTAAAATATTCTTGATCACTCAGTACTGAGTTGTTCTTGCCGTAAGTATCATTCTTTTATTACCACCAGAAGTCATTGAAGAGCATTACTTCCCACTGAAGCACAGAAAATATCTCGCCAACATTCCCATAATGCTTCGCCTTTTACTTTGGCTATCAAGATTCCAAGAAGGCTTTGATAAAATTTCTTAGAAGAAACTGAAGCTAAGGAATATCTTTACAATGGACAAAAAGACTCAATGGGTAAAGCTAAAACTGTGACAACAACATATGTTCAAAGGAAAACATAATAATGTAGCAAAGAAAGTTAGCAGCATACATGTCTGATTTCCGACCAAGTTGCTTCTGAGGCAGAATAACCTGGGCTGAGTGGGAATCATTGGTATCAGGAATAGGATGGCTCATTATGCAAATAGCACGGGCAACTTTTCCAACCTTCTGAACCTGTTACATTGAAAACGAGTCAATATAATTAGTTTTATGAGGATGCATATTTGTCCATAAAAGAAAAAAAAAAAGAGGGAGATGCACGGTTTCTTCGGAGGTTACCTTATCAGGCAAATAAGATGGATCACAAACAACTTTCTTGCACTTAGCAGTCTCTCCTTCAGAAGTCACACCAATAGCTTTCCCATCACCATCAAACTCTACCTACAATCCCAATACAAAACCCTTATAACAAATGCACAAGGGAAACACAAAGACACCCTTTTATTCAGTTCCCTTTGTTACGTGCCAATGCATGAGCTAGTAAAAGGCATTAAGCACTTTGATGTCCCCGAAAATTAGGATCCTAACATGTCCAGATGGAAGGAGAGAAACAAAATAATTCACTCTATGCTGTACAGAAGCTCATTTGTTTGCTTTGATTCTTTATATACATATATAAGTAATCGAAATGTCAAGGATTAGTGTTGATAATTAATCCCTGTAAGTCCCTTTCTTAGATATTTGCTACCACTGCCAATTTGGTATAATCACTAATTTACTGGAAAAATGCTATTAGGTATAACAAGTTTTACACATGTGATGTGGTAACCAATGTGAAAATTAAACAAAATACAAGTGCATTAAGGCACGTGTCACATTCTAGTTTACTTTGCATTTGTGTGCTTCAAGCACGGAGCAAAGCACTAACAAGTTCTAAGGTATACAGTTTAGCAAGCAAAAGAACATAAGCCCAACGCAAGACAAAGCAGAATTAGTTCTAAAACCAGTTTGAAGAACCAATCATCAGATATTACACCACAAGCTAGCTATCTTTGAAGAATGTTCAAAATGACAAAGGGATGCACCAGGGGGAAATGAATGATTAAATTTCAAAAAGCATCAAGTAGAATGGAGAATATGATGTCAAGCCTCAAATTATCAGGATAATCACCACATAGGGTTATCAATTGAGGTTGATACCTCATATATGAGCATCTGAACACTAAAAGACTCAATGGCAAGCTTCAATACATTATTCTCAAGCATTCATCAAGTTGAGGACTAAGCATGAATTGTTTACTCCTACTTTGCAGGAAACAAAGCAAATACATTCCGGTTCTCAAAATGTTCTGAGAGATTTACCTTACATTCTGGCTTGTTGAGCATGTACGTACCACCATAAACTGCACTTAATCGAGCAAATGCCTGTCAATAGAAACACAATAAGATTTCAAACCAACAAATGTTTCTATTCAATTAGAAACAAAACTACAGATAAAAACAAACCTGTGGCAATTCTCCTAGACCATACAATGGATATATATAAGGAGATCCTCCTTGAAACCGTGCCAAAGATTCTGCATAGAGCTTTACAAAACAAAAGCAGAAATACTATGAAAAAAATTATAAAAAAGGTATGTGCGGTCACTGAAGAGTAAGATCAAGGAGAATATATTTAAAAAAGAGAAAAAAAAAATGCCCAAGCAAAAACTTTGATTGTTTCTTCCAACCAGTGTCACCCACCATGCAGCTTAAGAATCAACCATTGCCTGTATTACAACGAAGAATATGATAGAAAACAAGATGGTACCTTCATTCTCTTAACAAAATCCAAAGCTGGCTGATCCAAGTAACTATCATCAATGTGGAGTGCCAAGGCATGACCAATAAAGTCAATTGTATCATCTTCCAGCCCGTACTTTCTATATTGCAAAAACTAGCAAGCATTAACACCAGTAAGCAGTAACTAATACAAGCTAATGCATAGGACAATCAGAGTAATTAATGATCGTGAGCTTCTAATATGTCAGATCTTCGCTCCAGAAAGTAAACACCCTTTCTCAAAAGGGAAAAGAAAATCCTAATCACAAACTTCGTTGCGAAAAACAGTGAAAAGAACCCAAAGATCACAAAAAAATCAAAACTAAAATATTTTCCCTTTTTGTGTAAGAGACAAACTGGTGAATCCAGCAAATGTTCTTAGCATTTATGAAGAAAGTTTAATCCACAAGTCTAAACGCATACATTTTTATTCATTTTATAGTCAATGTAATTGCTAGAGCAAGCTTTAGAGAGATAAAAGGGATGAGATACAGACGAGATAAGTTCTCTCGCTGTTACTTTATTCAGGTCAAGTCCTTCATGAGATTTTGGATCATTGTCTTCATAGTCCTGGACATAAATGAAGAACTTTCTAGCACGGCGCTTCTCAAACAGTCCCATCAATGGTGATTTCAGTGCTTCAACATCAGTTGCTGGAACTTTGTAGATCTACAGGTAATGTTAATTGCTTTAAGTTGTTGTAGGCGAGCAGGGAACAATGTTTAGAAACAAATTATAAGAAAAACCACAATATTCTTACTTTTCCCTTGTTGTACACAAAACTACCATCCACAGCCTTGAAGTTAAGATACTTGGTAACATCTGTATGGATGAGAATACGGACGAGACCACCATTGGCCATCATGAACTGCGTAAGCAAATTATGTAAGCATTCATCATTGGTAAATAGTTTGTCACTGCACATTTTAAACACAACATGTCCAAAACAAAGAAAAAGAAATTGCTGAATTTGTAACTAACCCATATATATAACACAGTCGTAACCTTAGAAACCTAAGTGCAACCTAAAACTAAGCATCCAACAGATAATTAAGTATTGAAAACTACAAAATAACATAGCTCAATTTGGTTACTCGTTAGTAATAAAGAGTTCAGAAGAAAAGGTTGTTGCATGCCTTGGGAATCATGTCAACATTAAATTCCCTGCTTGCGCCCAGCTGTTCTGGAGGCTTATCATCTCCCCTGAAACGTTTCCAAAGCTATACAGCAGAAAGACAAAATTCAGAAAATGGCCAAGGAAAATGTCAGATATATAGCAAATAGGAATGTTTCTGTAGAAAAGATTGAAAAGCAAAAAGTCCATCATTTGATCAAAGAAGACTAACCTGCATAAGATTAAGAGAAGTCGACTCTCCACCGTAGTAGTCATTTCTGTCCATGTGCAGCACCTGTTTTGGATGCAGATTTACAGAATAGGTAATTAATACAGAATTGATAAGATTTTAACCTAACATCCAAAGCCACTTCCTCTACCACCTTAACCAACAGTAAAAACTAATCCCCCACAATCAATATTATTTCCTATATATCTAAATATTGAAGTACAGCTTCCAAAAGAGAAAAAGAAAAAATAAAAGCAAAAAATGCTGACTGCTACGATGCCTATAAAGAAAACCCAGAAATGAAAAAACTCCCAAAGCCCACATTTCACGTTGCTTTGAAACATCAAAACATGGAAATTAAACAAAGAAACAACAGGGATAAACAAGGGACGTACTTTGAGTCCATCAACGGAGAGAAGACCGCTGAGAATGCATTCCTTAAGGCCGGTCCCAAGGACTATCACATCGTACTCTTCATCCATGGCTGATCCTCACAAGTTTTTTTTAAGATTTCAATCTTACTTTGTTATGTTTTTCTTTCTTTTTCCCGTGAGAGAGAACGAATGGGAATTGAACTGCAAAGGAGAGAGAGACTTGGGTTTTTGTGTGCTTTCAGTTTGGAACAGGTCTTTAGCGGGAAGTAACGAGACTAACGCTTTCGGAAAGTACTAAATTCACGCTATTTCATGCGCGTGCGATGCATGGAGCAGTTCGAGAATGACACGTGGATGGGCATCTCGAGGTTTTGAGTCTGCGATCAAAATTGGAGAGAGTGGACCTGGCTCCGAGCCTTTCCCCCCGTATGACCAGTGAAGAGTGACCCTCTCGATCTTTAAACTCTCTTTCCCTAGTTTCCCAGTTTAGACTTTGTACTCTTTCCCCTTTTATTTTCATGTTTTATTCTTTCACTTTTAAATTAACAACACAGCGTAGGGAAGAGGAAGAGAAAGGAGCAAGCAATGTGATCGGCCTTCAAGCAATGGAGTAGCCTTTCTTGTAGTAATTTCTATGAAAAGAAAAAGTAAATAATTGGATTGAAACGTAAAATGTTACAAAGAACAAAAAAATTTAATTACACATAAATATAAGGGTGAACTCATAATTATTTTTTAATTTAATGAAAAATATTTACATAAATTTCATGTAAGTTCGAAAACTTAACCATAAAATAATATTCATAAATTATTCTATCCACAGAAAATAGATTATTAGAATCGAAAACTAAGATATAAATAATTTGATTATAAAGAAAAATATGAAGTTCCATGCATTCCAGATGAATGTCAAGTTCTAACTCTAATAACCTTTGCTAGGTAGTCAAGTATGTCCCTCAAAGTCCATTTACTAAATTACAGAATAATTTGCGCTTTGCTACTACTACAGACATGGTAAGAGATTTGAAATACTTTACAACCAAATCTTTTGCAGTGACTGGGAATGTTGTCGAGAGTAATTCCATTCTCCTGCCGGAATAAGGCTCAGACAGTTCCATTCAGCTACAGAGTGCTAGTTTTGCCGATATGCAAAACAAACTCAATGGGTGTACATGTTCCAAACCCTAGCTTTAATTTGTGTGTACACTTTTGACTCTGTTTACATTTATTTATACGCTTAACTAAGCATTCGAAACTCAGTTTATTGTAATCGACTTTGTCCAGGAACAAATTACTTTGACTCAATAAACTTGGCCTCTACAAATATATTAGTACGTTGTGCAAACACGAGGCAGGTTGTATATATCTATATTTACTGAGACACGCATTTAAAGATAAGATTATGCAACGCCACTTCTTCTCAAGAACCTCTCTAACCTTCAAAAGTCAGTTAGGGAAAGGTAACCTGCAAGCAAGGCATTCCAATAGATACAGTCAGGCAAGGTAGCAGAAACTGAAGCAAGTCTTTGCAGTAGCAGCGAACAATGCTGTAAAGCAACTCAAATCCTTCAACTTTATACAAAATTGGATAGCATAGTGCTAAGTGCAGGGAACTGATTAGAGTGATAAATGGATTTTCCATTGTTTGTGCCATTGCTAGTAATAGCATGCACTAGGTAACAATATGCCATTTGTGTTTATGAATATACATGACTTACCCCAATCTGAGAGAAATGTCAGAGTTATTATAGCCTTGAGGAGGATCTGCGGAAATCCAGACATGGGCAGTTGACTCTGATGATTGGCCTTGTTGAGGTACAATTGCTTGGTCCATTGATGAGTTCCCGATCTACCAAAATCAACTTTGCTGTCAATTGAAAGCAGAAAACAAGGAATTAAGTTATGGAAATGGGTACACTCACTTGCTGTTTCAGCTGCTGGTTTTCTTCCATCAGTTTTGCTCCCTTCAATTCAACAAGGATAAAGAATCAAGTACCAGATCATATGTCCATCAGAAAGAAAGAAACAGAAAGAATAATTAAGATAACGTAAATCTTTTTGCTGTTAAATCTTTGCTTACAGAACCAGTTTCTGGGCGCTTTAAAGTTTGATACCACTTCCATTGAAACTTTCCACTATTGCCCAAGCTATCACCAGTACTTATTTTAAATCTTGCTTCACATGTAGATTTTCTAAACATTTACTATGCAGATTCAAATCAAGTTATATTATAGATTAAGCAAGCTAGAAATGAAAACAAACAAGGTAACAAAAGAAATCTTCAATTGGGAAATTAAGCAGCAAAATTGTCATGTTTTATATTTGATATCATCCAATACTAATTCATTCCTTTTAACTATGAAAATTATACAAATCCTATCAACTGTTGCAAGTTAGTTAGTATGTCACCTTCCTCTTGAGGTTGCTGATTTCTTTCAAAAATCGCTCATCCTGAAACACAGAAGTTTCATCACTAGTTAGACAATGAACAAAATCTACAACATGACAATATAACATCCACTAACTAAAACTTTCTAAGGGAGGATGAGGGATGAGTTGGAGGAGATGGGACTTCAAAAACCTTTGTTTCTGTAACTCGACTCAGGCCTGCATCTAGTAATTTCTCTAGGTGTTTTAGTTCTTCTAAGTTTAACCCTTGGAGCTCCTCTCCCCTCAGCTGTCTATCAAAGAAAGGATCACACAACATCATT